ATAGAGCAACAGAAATAATATGTCTTAAGACATGTGCAAACTAGACAACACACTTATTAATAAACAATGGGTCAAAGAAGAAATCACAAGGGAAATTAGAAAATAGTTTGAGATGAATGGAAGAAAATGTATCACAAACTTACAGGATACAGCTGAAACAGTGCTAAGAGGGAAATTTATAGCTTCAAATATTTCTGTTAAAAAACAAGAAAGATCTCAAATCAATAACCTAATTCTTGACATTAAGATTCTAGAGAAAAAGAGATTAACCCAAAGCAATTAGTAGGAAGGACTTAATAAAGAGTAGATTTGAAATAAATAAAATAGAGAATAGAAAACCATAAAGTAAACAAAACCAAAGGTTGATTTCTTTGAAAAGTTAAGCAACATTGACAAACCTTGAGGTAGGCTGACCAAGAAAAAGATAAAACTCAAATTACTAATTTCAATAAGCTAGGTGGAGAAAGACAAATACCATATGATTTCACTTATTTGTGGAATATAAAAACAAACCAAAACCGAATGAATGAAACAGAAGTAAACTCATAGACACTGAAAAGTGACTAGTGATTACCATGGGGAGGGGTTGGGGTGAGGAGGGTGAGGGGTATAAAAGGTCACAAAAACTGTCAAGCATAATACAAGTTGGTCACAGGGATAGTAATACAGCATGGAGAATATAGTCAGTGATTCTGTAACATCTTTTTATGCTGACAGATAGTAATCGTGCTAGTTGAGGTGAGGATTTAATAATATGGTAACTGTTGAACCACTGTGTTATACATTTGAAACCAATATGATTGTATATCAATGATACTTATATAAAAAATTCAGAAAAAATACCCAGAACCAAAAAATTAACTAATTTCAAGAATGAAAGGGGGTGTTGCTACTGAAGTGATGGAAATAAAAAGGTGTATAACACTGTGAACAAATTAGAACCTAGTTGAAATGGACAAATCCCAGAAAGATGTAAACAACCAGTATTGACTGCGGAAGAAAATGAATATCTGAATAGGTCCCTAACAGAAAAGAGATTGAATTAGTAACAAAAAATAAAAAAAACTTCCCACAAAGCAAAGCCAAGGAACAGTGGATTTACTGATGAATTCTATCAACTACTTAAGGAGGAATTAACACTAAAAAATTATAAACTCTTCTGAAAAATAGAATATAAAGGAATATTTTAATTCTCTTTCTGTAGACAAGTATTCCTGGATACCAGACAAGAAATCACAAAAATGAAAATAAAAAAAACCCTATCAACAAAATCCTAGCAAAATGAATCCAACAATTTGTAAAAAGTATTATTATATACCATGATCTAGTGGTATTTACCCAGGAATCAACTTAAAAAATTAAATCAATGTAATATTCCATGTCAATACAATAAAGCACAGAAATATCACCTCAATAGATATAGAAACAGCACTTGACAAAAGCCAACACCTTTTCATGTTTACTTTATAAAAACACTGAACTAGGAATAGAAGGGGACTTCCTCAACCTGATAGAGGGATCTATGAAAAACGTAAAAGCTTGCATCGTACTTGATAGTGAATGATTTTCCCCCAAGATAAGAAACAAGACAGGATGTCTCCTTTTGCTTCTTTTATTCAGCATCATCCTGGAGGTTCTGGTGAGAGCAGTTCGGCAAGGAAAAGCAAGGACATTCCAATTGGAAAGGAAGAAGCCTTTTGTTTTCTTCCTTTGTTTGCATATGACGGATTACATATAAAACATCTTAAGGAATCCACAAAAAAGAAATCTATTAGAGTTAATAAGTATGGTCATTAAGGTTGCAGGACACAAGGTCAATATGCAAAATCAATTATATTTCCATAGGCTAGTAATGAGCAACCTGAAAATGAAATTAAGTTGGTGATCCTATTACCACAGCACCAATAAATAGAAAATATTTACTAATAAATTTAACAAAGAATTGCAAGACTTGTTCACTGAGAACTACAAAACATCGTTCAAAGAACTGAAAGAATACCAATATAAATGGATAGATATCCTATATTGTTCATGCATTGGAAGGCTTAATATAGTGAAGATGGCAATACTTGACCTGTAGATTCTGATAGTCCTTGTCAAAACCTCAGCTTCGTTTATGCAGAAATTGACAAGCTAATCCTAAAATTCAAAAACAACAAAGTTGGAGGACTCACACTTCCCAATTTGGATCAGGCAATATATTCTTTGATATGACACCTAAGCATAAACAACCAAAGAAAAAAGTGGATAAATTAGATTTCATCAAAATTAAAACTTATGTGCCTCAAGATACTCTTACCAAAGTGAGAATGAGAACCCACAGAATAATAGAAAATATTTGTAAATCATATATCTGTTAAAGAACTGCTTTCTAGAATATTTACAGATAGATTCCACAACTCAATAATAAAAAACCTAATAGCCTAATTTTAAAAATGGGCAAATTATCTGAAAAGCCATTTCTATAAAGAAAATACACAAATAGTGAATAAGCCCAAGAAAAGATGCTAAATATCATTTGTCATCAGGAAATACAAATTGAAACCATAGTAAGATACACTACCTCATATCTACTAGGATGGCTATAATAAAAAAGACAGGTAATATAATAACAAGTTGGTAAGGATGTGGATAAATTGGAAGGCTCATATTGCTACTCATATGTGGAAATGTAAAATGGTGCAGTCATTTTATGAAATAGCGGGGTAGTTTCATTTTACCCATAAATTCTGCTCTTAGGTATATGCCCAAAAGAACTGAAGACAGATATTCAACAGAAACTTGCACACGATGTTCTAGGAACATTTTTCATAATAGCCAAATGGCAGGAACAATCCAACCAAATGTTCATCAACAGATAAATGGATAGACAAAAAATGGTATATCCATACAATGAAATGTTACTGCGCCATTTAAAGGAACAGAGAACTAGTACATACTATGATGTGGATAAACCTTGAAAACATTTTACTAAGTGAAAAGAGTCAGACACAAAAGGCCATATGTTCTATAATTCCATTTAGGAAATATCTAGGATAGCAAATTCATAGGGACGGAATGAAGATCAGTGTTTGCCTAGGGCTAGAGTGGGCTGGCTGGGAGTTGATGAGGGGAGTATTATTAAAGAGTGTAGGGCTTCTCTTTGCTATGATGAAGATATTCTAAAATTGATTGTGGTTATGGTTAAACAACTTGGAAGTTATACTAAAACCAGTGAATTGTACACTTTAGGTGAACTGTATGGTATGTGACTTACATTTCGATGAAGCTGTTACACAACAAATACATGAAACAAGAATGTTCATAGTGCCTTCATTCATAATAGCCCCCAATTGGAAATACCCAAATGTCTGTAAACAATAACAAAGCTGTGGTACATTCCTGCCATATAACATTATCCAGCAATTAAAAAAGAACAAAATACTGATACTCATAAAGAATGAGTCACACAAAATATTGAGCAAAAAAGCCAGACATGAAAGAATACAGTCTGTATGATTTCATTTAGTTTAAAAACAGGCCAAGTAATATACAGTGATATAAATCATAACTTGATTGCCTGTGGGAAAGACAAAAGAGGTATTGATGGGAAGGGAATAAAGTAACTTCCTAAGAAGATGGAAATGTTCTGTATCTTAATTAATGAGTACATGGATGTAAATATTTGTTAAAGCTCATCAAACTACATACCTGAGATTGGTAGATTTTTGTTAATGTGATTTTATCTTAATAAATGACCCTATGACCTGGGAGTTGGCATTACCAAAACTGTTAGAGGGCCTGAAAGGTTATAGGATCAAGTAGGATCAAAGACATAGCTTCAAGGTTGAGTGATACAGTGGAGCTGGGATTGAGCCCCTGTTATGTGGTCCAGGATCTTGAAAGAACTTGACTTTTGTCACTGAAAAGATAATTAGAAAATTCTGTCCACTGGCCTTGCCTAGAGAAATAAGAACTTTAGCAGTCTGGTTTTTACAAAAAAGTTACTTAAAAAAAAAATCAGTACTCCATATCTTTACCATGCTTTGGTATGGGGTCTGAATTTATGCTGTGTGTTTGGTGCATAATCTCACACTAACAAGTTATCAAAACCAGACCAGGAACTAGCATAAACAAACATGAAATAAACCTCCTTTAAGAGTTTATGAGACTCCTTAGAAAATATTCCCCACTGAAAATGTGTTATAAACCATCCTAGGAAACCAAGCCACCTTGACCGGGAGTTGGTTCACACAGCAAAGAAGCAGAATATCATTTTAAGGTTTGGAAATAGTGTAACAGTCTGTAAAATAATGTTTGAAGTGGTTAACTAGTTAAAAGAGGCATAGGAAGCAGAATAAAAGAAGTTAAAAACAGAACAACTAAGGTAGGTATGATGATGAGGTATATAAAACAGTCACAGATACAAATTTACTCATATCTTAAATGGCTTTGCTACAATTTATTAGATCGGATAGAAAATAGAATATAGGGGTTATAGTAAAGTTGAGTGATTTATTAAAACTACATGACAATTTAGTGTATTTAATATTCTGAATTTTTATATAAAATACTTTAATACTATAGTCGTCTTAAATTATTTCTGATTAGCAGATTGTCAAGTTATGTGTTGAAAGGCCTGAAAGTCTGGTGGATAACTTTTTAAAATTACAATTTGGATGGAGTACGAGTAGGACTTACCAGGTGTTTTTTCTCGAACAGTGCCCCTCAACTGGTATTCCCACCCTGGCCAACTAACAAACCAAATGCAGGCTAGTCTGAGCCTGAGCATTCTTTCTCCAAGAGCCCTTCAAAGCAGGGGGTTGGGGGGATAATGAGCATAGAATATTTTTCTGAGTTTTTTTTTTTTTCCTAAGAAATTATGGGTAACTTGCAAATACTTGTCTCTTGTTTTGAAACATTGTTTGCAACTATGGACTCTTCATATTGAGTAAATGAGACAGTGTTTTATTAGCTTACTTTTATATTACTGGATATGAAAAAATAAACCCATTTTATTAAAAAAGAAGCCTCCTATTTATATGCACACTATTATCTGATGTTATGGTACCATAAGAGTCCATCTCCTTAGCTAAAAAATGTACATGCATATTCTCTGGATATAGAATCTAGTTTAAGGAATTACAGTAGACTAATCCATGCTTTGTAAACCTTTTTGAATTACTGTACCTCTATTTAACTTTTAAAATTATTCTGCCTTGAGAACTATTCATAGATAATACCTCATTCCTACTTATGCATTAAATACACACGAATGAAACTTTAGTGTTGCTTACTTTGCCTATATTGTTCAGCTATTCACATTTATCTTTTAAAGGCAAACCTACCTAAATTTGAATTTAACATTCTAACTTTAGAGATACTCTCTGAGTAAATGATACTCAAATCTTCCCAACTCTGAAAAACCTGTATTCTCTTTTGTATTCCATTTATTGCTAATATTTGTGGTACTCAAACTCACCCTCACCTACCCCCACCGCCTCCTGCCCTTTTTGCTTGAATGACTAACTGTTCCAGTAGCACTAATCTGGGGCTTTGGTCCTTTCTTGAACATGTTTTCTTCCCTTTCCCACCAATAGTTGATTCTGTCTCACTCTACTAAGAAGTGTGGTGAGGTACCGATTTTCCAGCTTTGTTTTCAGATTTGTAAATACGGAACTGCTGGGTTTTCCTGCTCTGCGCTGCTCTTCTTCCTCCTCCTTTGACATTGACACACTTGTTGAAATCCCCTCAAGTGTGGTTAATTGCAAAATTTGTGGAAAAATTGTATAACTTTGTAAATTGTTTTGGGTATTTTCTCTTTGGGTTCCATCAGTGCTCCTTACATTGTTGCCAACTATATGCTAATTACATTTCAGACCTGATAAAAATGAGTGCATTAAAAAAAGTGAATCAACCATATAAATTGTTTTTGAAATTTCCCTAATAGTTTAAATTACAAATTTTCAGTATGGTGTTAACTCATTATACTTTGAGTACTGAAAAAGACACTTTGAATACCTAACAAGGGACTTTATTTTTCCCTAGTGTTTTTGTTTAATTTCCTTAAATTAATTGGAAAAATCATTCACATTTAACTCTTACTAACTTGATAAATTTTTATATCCTCTTAAGATAGTTGGCAGCATTGTCCCTAATTCTTTATTGGTTTGGGCTTATATAATGTCTTTTTCTTTTCTCCATTTTTTTGTTTTGTTTTTTTGCTTCCTAAGGACATGATGATACAGCGCCATGTGCAATTTTGAAAAGTATGGATAGTGTTAGCTTTCTTCAACACCCAGTCCACCAGAGGAGCTTAGAGATTCTGCAGAGGTGCAAGGAAGAGAAGTACAGTAAGGCTGCAAATCCTGATACACTTCTGTTATCACATGTTCATTTGGAAACGGAAACCAGGAGCATTCTACACCAGGGTGGGACAGGGTGGTCACATAGGCTATGTGGCCTCCACAACCCTTTGACCAGTCAGTCTCAGGATACTTCCATTGAGATTTTAGTTCTTTCTCTTGAAGAAGTTGATATATGTATTCTTTTAACTTGAATGAGTATTTGTGTATGATCCTTGAGTTGTTAAATATACTTGGTTATAGGCTCTGAATTTGGTTCCCTTTTTTGTCTTTAAAGTAATTGAGTGATGGGTAAAAACAATTTTTTTCATGCTGATTTTCTTTTAAAGCTTTATTGAAATCTAATGATTTCATGCAAATGTAAAACATGCAAATGGATAGTTTGGTAACTTTTGACATATGTATACACCTGTGAAGTCATCACCTCAATCAAGGAAATTAGCATATCCAACACTGCCAAAAGTTTTCTTTGCCCCTGATTCAACCTTTGTGGTATTGATTTTATGTATTACTAGTTAGTTTGATTGCAGTCCTTTTATCAGACTTTTCTATGTCTGGTTTAGAAAAAAAGCCACCACATAAATGTTTTGGCTTAAGAAAGAATGATAGAGTCATAGTGGATGTTCTTCTTCTCTCTCTTTTTTTTTATAAAATTGGTGTAAAAAGATGCCCCTGGTCTCCATTTCTTTCCTTTTTTTATTTGTTATATTCATTTTGCATGAAAATGGGTCTTTTGCCTGTTGTGGGATTAGTTATTTGGCTCCTGTTACAGTGAGGATGTAGGGATTCTTGAGAATGCTCAAAGCCTAAATCAGCAATTTGTATGTAATGGATCCAACCACTCATCTATTCTGTTCTGAGCTTTTTACAGAACACCACAGATGTACTTTGTCAGTTTCACAGTTCTGTGATTGAAATTCCTTGAAATTTTAGTGTACAGTTATCAGGAGAATATAAATAGACTATAAGGATAAAGATAAGTGAATTTTCTAAAAGCAAGTGTTGTGGGTTCTTCAGTTCTTATTTTTGCTGTCTTGGTATGCGAATATATGTAATGCATTTTGAAAAATGCATTTAAAATATTTTCTCATTTTAGAATAAAGGTAAGTATTTCATTTTAAAAATATATCCTTAAATGTTACTCTAATTAATTAATTGTTGCTATTGTTTCTGAAAGGTATACAAGTCCTCATTCTAAACACTGATCTTCCTTTTCTAAATCTTTTAACCCATGGGACATTATTTATAATAGTCTACAAATCTTTTTAGGGGAGCTTACGTTATCTTTTTAACTTTTAAATAGTGCAAGGGTTTATTTGCTTTGTTGATATTCATGACCCTCAGCCTGACAATCCCAGGCTGGATTTTATTCCAGCCTAGTATATATGGGTCCAGAAAAAGAAGGCACCAATTGCAGCATAGACTGCATGAGGAAATTTTTCACTTGTCTGTGATCACATGCTAGTTTATTTCTACATTTGTGAAAGATGGAGTTTTTTCATTACTTTAGTTTATTCCATTTTCCATTATAGTACTACCATTAACTAAAATTTTTATAACATATAAAATTACAAATTGAAATTTAGGGGAATTTTTTAAAAAAACCCAGAGGACTGGGGTCTTTAGGTTATGGTGAATTGGTGAGGTGAATGAACGCTCCCACAGGTAACAATAAAACCTGGAAAAAATTTGAAAGTAACAAAACGATTATAAAGCATTGGAAAAAGACCAAAAAGACTAAAAAACTGAAAAAGTCCAAAAAAGAAGCAGAAACCAGAGGGGAATTTATTCTTTAAAGTAAGTAAAGCAGTGAATAAGAATTGTGAATTTGTGACTTTTTACACAAAATGCTTCCCAACTGCCATAGCTCCAGAGACAGAAAACCACACAACCATACTGACTTGAGGTATCACAGTTGAGGACTGGCAAAGCAGCTTGGAAATTAGAAGGTAAAACCTGGAACTGAGAGAGCTGTCAAAAGGCTAAAACCTAAAGTTAAGAGTATGATTTCTGCCAGCCATACCTAGCTGGCTGCTGTGAGTATGCAAGGAAGATTGTAGGGGCCAGTCATCAAAGCAATAAAAAACAAATGGAAGATAGCCATTGAAAGACACTGCAGTAGGTGAGATTTGCAAGTTTGTTGCTTTGACTGAGGGCTTTTTGTATCTGTGCATAGCTCCTGTGGTGAAAAGCTGAATACTAACTGCCTTAGTTGGAGTCCTATACTTAAAGCAGAGAAAGAGGCAGAAAAATATTTGGAGAGAGAATGGCTGAAAACTTCTCATGTTTGGTTAAAAAAAAAAAAACCAGCTTAGAGATCCAAGATCAGTGACCTCCAAGTAGAATACATACAAAAAAACCCCCACAACTAGATGCATTATAGGCAAACTACTGAATGCCAAAAATAAAGAGAAAATCTTGAAAGCAGGCAAGAAAAAATAATTAAGAACAGGAGAATAATGATGAATACTTGATTCCTCATTAAAAGCAATGGGGGCTGAAAGATATCCAAAAACTATAATTAAAATCCCAAAAAACAAAATCCTGAAACCAAAACAAAAGCAAGCCCAAAGAAACAACAAAACTTTCAGCAGAATTTCTATATTTGTAGTTTGGATCCTTACAAGTTAACCATCTGTTAGAAAAAAAAATCAGTGGTCTTTAGAGGAGTATAACAGGATCTAGTGTTGTTGCAGTATATTGTCTAGAATGCCCAATTATCAATTAGCAAAAATATCCTTCAAAAAGCAGAAGTAAAGATGTTTTCAGATAAACAGAATCTGAAAATTTGTCACCAGAGTATGTATTCTGTGAAAGTGGAATACAATTCTTTATGCTAAAGGAAAATGACCGTGGATGGTAACTTCGATGTTGTAAGTCTGGGGAAAGGAAATCCTGGGGCAAAATACCTCTAAAATCCAAAATCAGTCAAAGGGAGAAATAAAGTTTGAAACACGTTTATTGCTCACAAACTGCAGTCCCAGGCAGTCTTTCTACTCTGCCCCAGCAGCAACAACACTGGCCCTCTCCATCACCTCACAGGTACAGATCACCCCTCTGTTACCCAGGTAATCACCCATTGATATGGAGATGAACTTCTCCACCCCTGAGGAAAGATGCAAATGTACTGAAGCCATACTTCTTTCCACCTCTGAATGCTTACTGATATGCAGATATACTAAAGCCAGGCGAGATATTCTGGAAATGTTTCAATTTTACCCACAATCCACCCTTCCAGAAATCTCGCCTTACAATTTACTTGACCCCCCTCTTCCAACCAATTCAGTAACATGCAATAGCAACAGCAATAAAATCTTGATAATCTTCAACCAGAAGATTCAGCCTATGCAGATTAAGTAAATGTACTTTACAGCACAATCTCTCAGTAAGCACAAAATATGTTTCTACACTTGTTTACTCATTCCTAACAATCATGCTAGATTGCTCACAAAACTTTTACCAAACATTAGACAAAGTCAAGCCTCTCTTTAAACATTATTTTCTTGACAACAGCAACACAATCATAATTCTCAAGCCGGAGGATTCAGGTAGGTTCAAAGTCCCATGCAGATTAAGTCCAAAGCTCGTCCATTCCAGCCATCACACGGCAGCTGCAGCCAGGGGACGCATCCAGGACACAAAGACCGTAGAAGCAAATAACTGTGATTGTCAAGGGCCAATTTGCTGTTATTACAGGAATACACAGAAGGCCAGCTTCCAGGCCTTTTCCCCAAGGTGCCAGAAGAGCCAGCCATCGTTGGTCCATGTGTTGAAATGTCCAGGGCCACGTCCATTTTACTCCTAATTGCTGCACTGATCCTTGCAACACATGTCCAATAAAGTGGGTACCTCGATCGCTCTCAGTAACCGGCAACCAACCATAGGCTGCAGAGAGATGCTCTAGGTACCTCTTGGTGGTTTGCTGATCTGCACAATGTGCAGGGCACTCCTTCCGGGCTCGGCTGACTTCTTCAAAGGTGAAAGGCAAGCCACACTGATGGGCCCATATTGTCTTTTGAGGTGTCTGTGCCACGCCACTCCGTGGCCTTTGGGTCCAGTCTTGCACCCACCCTGCGATGGGATAGGAGGTTATTTCCTTGGTCGGAGCTGTTCCGGCGATGGGCCCTGTAGCCAGCAAGGTGTGGTACATAGCAGCCAGTTGCTTCAAGATGACCTGGACCTCTGCTCCTTCCCATGGTTGTGGCCAGGCTCCGGCCGGCAGCAAGAGCAGCAGCAGTGGCAGAAGCAGTAGCCTTAGGCTCGGGCCACGGGCCAGGGTTGGCGTGGCCAGCAGCAGTGATGGTGCCTCCACGACTACATGAGTGAAGACACATGTCCCTTGGCGTGAGCGCTGCTTCTCCCCATCATTTCTAGGGGCGACCCTCCCAAAGGTTGCACCCATTATGACAGATTTCAGATTCACAGGAACCCTGCCGACTAGGCCAATTGTAAGTCCGGGGAAGGGAAGTCCCAGGGCAAAATACCTCTAAAATCCGAAATCTGTCAAAGGGAGAAATAAAGTTTAAAACCCGCTTATTGCTCACAGACTGCAGTCCCAGGCAGTCTTTCTTCTCTGCCCCAGCAGCAACAACACCGGCCCTCCCCCTCACCTCTCAGGAACAGATAAGCCCTGTGTTACCCAGGTAATCACCCACTGATGAACTTCTCCACCCCTGAGGAAAGATGTAAATGCAGTAAAGGCATACTTCTTTCCACCTCTGAACGCCTATTGATATGCAGATATACTAAAGCCAGGCGGGATATTCTGGAAATGTTTCTATTTTACCCACAGATGTATAGCAGGAGTTGGCAAACTTTCTCTGCAAAAGGCCAGATAGTAAATATTTTAAGCTTTGTAGGTCATATGATCTCTGTTGAAACAACAACATTCTGTGAAAGGAACTATAGACAATGTATAAATGAATGGCTCTGTTTCAAGAACTTTATTATGGACACTGAAACTTAAATTTCATGTAATTTTCATGTCACAAAAATGTTCTTCCATTGATTTTTTTTTCCCTCAACCATTTAAAAATGTAAAAACCATTCTTGGCTCACAGGCCACACAAAAGTAGGAAGTGGGTTTGATTTGGCCTTAGGACTTTAGTTTGCTGATTCATGAATTGTTAGAAGGAAGAAAGAAACCAGAAATAATAAATATGTATAAACATGTAACTATAAATATTTTATTTCCTTCTCTTAATTGCTTTTAAAAAGATATGATATTTCAGGCAAAAACTGACATTGTTCTAGTGGTTTTAAATGTGTACACAAATTCTTTGGTACACCTCCCTTCAAAAGGCATGTGCTATATTTAGTGATTCACTTTTAACAAGTAGAATGGGGCAGAAATGAGAGTGTATGATCTTCAAGATTAAGACATCGAAGGTATTGCAGCTCTTCCTACCCCTCTTCATTAGTGGTGCTCGCACCTTCTTTCTTCCGGAACTGTTCTCTGAGATTTGGCAGGGAAGAAATTAGAGGAGTAGTGCAAAATTTGGGAGCATGACCAGCAGATCCACCTCTGCAAAGGTCAGGAGCCCTGTAAAGGAGAAGGAATGAAAAGGTAGGAAGTAAAGAGAGACGGTAGAATAGACGAGTCTCACTTCAGTTTGAAGCTCACAACTCTCACCTTGTTGACAGTGCCTGCCTTAGTGTTCCTGACTTCAGACATCAGTATGGTCACACAAATAACTGAAACTTTGAAGTTGTTGTTTGACCAAATTGGAATTAATATAGAAATCAGTAATTGAAAAGTATCTGAGAAGGCCTCAGATATTTGGAAAATAAACAACATGTGTAAATAACTCATGATTAAAGAAGAATTCGTAAGGGCACCTTGGAAGTATTTTGATCTGAATGATAATGGAAATACAACTTATTGTAACTTGTAGAATGCAACTGAAGTACTTAGAAGAACATTGATAGCTTTAACTCCTATGTTAGGAAAAAAAAGGTCAAAATCAATTATCTAAGCTTTCACCTTATGAAGCTACAAGAAGTAGAGAATATTGGACCCAAAATAGGTAGAAGGCAGTAAAAAATAAGAGCTAAAATCAGTGACTACAAAGTAGACCAACAGTAGAGAAAAATCAGTGGAAATCAAAAGCTGATTTTTCAAAAGAGCTGTGAAATTGATGAACTTGAATCCATCGCTGTCCAATAGAACTTTCTGTGAAGATGGAAATGTTTTCCAACTGTGCTGTTCAAAACTGTAGCCATTAGCCACATGTGGCTGTTAAGCACCTGAATTTTTTTTAAGCTTTAAAACGGAAGTTTTAATTAAATCAATTTAAATTTGAGTAGCCACATAATGGCTAGTGGTTGCTATATTGGATGGTGCAGTTCTAGCCATTTTGATTAAGAAAAAGAGTAGACAGAAACACTATTATCTGGGATGAAAGGGTAGAACAGTTATATATTGCCATCAAAAGGTTGCGGAGAAATTATGAACATTTATGCCAGTAATTTGCAACTTAGATGAAATGGACAAATTCCTTGAATGTCAGCAAGTTATCGAAACTGACCGAAGGAAAAATAGAAAATAGAAAATATTAACTGATATTTAAAAAATCATTACACAGAGGGAAAATGAGAAAAAGCCAAACATGTGTAAAAGAATCACTCTCAAAGAAATATCTTACTGTGTTTGTAGGGAAGATCCTCCAAAAAAAGAGAAGAAAATCCCCTAAGAGCACTTTACAATGTAGAAGAATTTTAAGAACAGGAATCCAATAAAGCAAGCTGACTATAAAAAGTATCAGAATGATACTGAAAATAAGTATTGAGCTACTAAAAGAAGCAGAGGCATAAAGCAACACCTAATGAGCTCAAGAAATAGAGGAAACATAGCTGAAAATTGAATTATTAATATTGAGAAAAGGTCTGAGATGATTATTTTTTAATACACAGAAGAGAAGAATGGATATAGAGCATAGAGAACGATCATTTGTCATAGGGATAATTGGTGTCCATAACTTAGGAACAAAATAAAATGAGAATGATGCATTCAAATATATAAGAAAATCAAGTTGTTCAAAGCTCTAACTGAATTTATTAATCACAAGACATATTTTCAGTAACACTTTACTGGAAATTCTCTTGGATATATACTTAGGAGTAGTTCCTGGGTTATCTGATTACTCTGTTTAATTTTTTTTTATAAACTGTGGTACTGTTTTCCAAAGTGACTGTGTCATTTCACATTCAGCAGTATATGTAAGGTTCATTTTTTCCATGTCCTTGCCAATACTTACTGTCTTTTTTGTTTTAGCCGTGCTAGGTTTGTGATAGGGTAGCTCATGTAGTTTTGATTTTCATTTCTCTGATGACTAATGATGTTGAGCATCCTTTCATGTGCTTATTAACATTTGCATGTCTTCTTTGGAAAAATATCTATTCAGATCTTCTGTTCACTTTTAAATTGAGTTTTCTTTTTATTATTTAGTTTCAAGAGTTGTTTTTGTGTTCTAGATTGATTTTCCTTATCAGATAAGTGATTTGCAAACATTTCCTACCATTCTGGGGGTTTTCTCTTCACTTCTTGATATAGTGTGCTTTGAAGCACACATTTAAAAAAATTTGATGATGATGTCCCATTTATCTAATTTCTTCTTTGGTTGCTTGTATTTTTGGTGTCATGTCTAAGTAATCACTGCCTAATCTAGTGTCAGGCAGATCTACTCTTACCAGTACTTGTAAGAATTTTATACTTTAAGCACTTATATTTTGGTCTTTGATCTAATTTCATTCTTTTGCATGTGGATACCAAGGTTTCCCAGCACCATTTGTTGAAAAGATTCTTCTTTTCCCGTTGAATTGTCTTGACATCTTTGTCAAAATTCAATTGCTCATAAATGTGAAGGTTTATTTATGTTTATAAAGATATGTAGTGTAGGTAAGGTACATAAGAAAGAAAGAAGTAAAAGTATCTTTGAGATAAGTGTCTCGTATGTAGAATATCCTAAGTAACCCACAGGAAACTATTTTGTACTTGCCCTTCCTTTCCATTGATCTATTTGTCTGTCTTTATGCCAGCACCATACTGTCTCAGTTACTGTATCTTTATAGTGAGTTTTGAATTCAGAAAGTGTGAGTTCTTCAACCATGTTCTTCTTTTTCAACATTGTTTTGGTATTCAGGGCCCCTTGCATTAATTTAGGATGAGCTTATTATTTCTGCAAAAAAAGGGAGCTGAAATTTTAATAGAGATTGTATTGATCTGAAGACCAATTTGGGAAGCATTGCCACTTTAGCAATATTGTTTGCAATTCATGAGCATGGATGGTATTCCATTTATTTAGGTTTTCTTTAATTTCTTTTAATGATGTTTTATAGTTTCCAGTGTAGACATTCTATACTTCCTTGTTAAATTTATTGCTCTGTATTATTTTGATGTTATTAATGGACTTGTTTTCTTAATTTTATTTTCTTAACTGTTTTTTGCTATTGTATAGACACACAAATGATTTTTTAATATTGTTCTTAGATCTTGTGATTTTGCTGAACTTGTATTAGTGCTAATTGTTTTTTGTGGGTTACTTAAGATTTTCTAAATACAAGATATTTATCTCAAGTAGAAATACTTTTACTTCTTTCTTTCCAACGTACCTTACCTATATTAAGTATCTTTGCATGTTTGTTATGAAAATTGATAGCCATATGCTTATAAAGCTTTAATGTTTATCAAAAGATTTGAAGAGAACTATAACAAAAAATATTGCTAATCCTTAAGGAAACAATTTGTTGTCTTTGAGTCTTAGTGACTTTATATATAAGATTAGTCAATCTCTAAAATCTGTACTCTGTGTCAGCAATATGTTTACTGCTGGAAAATGATGCTTAGGAATTATTAGAGATTTCTTGAATATTAAAAGAAATGAGCTTGTACACTTCTAGTCCATCAGGCCAGTTATCCCTGTATTTTCTGGTAATATGTAAATGAGCAGAGAAATAAAAGAATTTATTAATAAATTCCCTAATTGTGTTCATTGTTGGCCAAGTCAGATTTGTAACATTCATAGGAATTGGTTCATATTACTACTTATATGTTTCTGACATGTTTAACAAATATATGCCACCAAAGTACATTAATTTCATTTATCCTTAGAAAAATTATTTCATATTTAGATTCTCTTAGCATTGATTGGAAAATTTTCTGTCTTTTATATGCTAGGTATAACCCGGAAAAATCCCAGAACACCACTTTCTGATCTACAGGGCATGAATACTCTTAATGAAAAAAACCAACAGTAAGTATGTTTGGTTTATATTAAAAGAAAGTATAGAAGAGGTAACTAGATTTTTTTTTATTGAAATATCTTTTTTTTAATGGAATTCCTGAATAAAATTTGAAAGTAACAAATACAGTTTCCTGAGTTTGCAAATAAAGTTCCCTTGTCCTTTACTCATACATTATTTTATAAAGATTGTACTTTATATGCGCAAATGAGCATTGTTTAGTGTCTAAAATCTGCTGTCTATGTTTTAAATATCATCAAGAGAATTGAGCCCTGGTAATAAGGATGGCCTGTCATTGAAATTAAAGTATAACTTCTTTAATCACATTTTCCAATTGAAGTTACTTTGTCTTCCTAATGTGTATTGTCACTTCTCTGCTTAATAACATTTTTATAACTCTCCATTGCTTGTGAAAAGAATTCTAGGTTCACTGGTTACTTATGTTAGAGCTGTCAGAGCCCGAGGATCCAACCTCAACTTACTCATCTTAAATGCCAGCAAGTTGAACTACTTGCTATCTTTATAAATATACATTTTGTTTACTTTTAATAGTGATATTTGGCTAATAATGAAATCAACCACTATATTTGCATGTTAAATTTTATCCAAGAATGAATTAGACTGTATGACTTCAACTTAGTCTATTGGCAATATTCTTACCCTGGTCATTAGAGATCCCTAATTTAAGGAAATCCATCTCTTGATTTGGATAAAAAAAGGAAACTGTGACTTGTCCCATTTCCCAGAGCAATTTCTTTTTCATAATTCTCCTAATTTCTAGTTTGTGATTCTTTGCACTTTCAGTTTTGGCTGCCCAAAGTGATCTGTATAGGCTTCTGTTTTTTATGTATCAGTTGGGTTAGTCTAATATTTTAGTTTAAGACTGATCATGTTGGTCTAGGATCAGGAAATTAATGGAATTCAGATGCTCGTGGTATGATAAACTAATTTTGTAAAGTATGTATAGCCCATTTTTGAGTCCCTTCTTCACAGGGAAGTTGATCACCTCAGCTTGATTCTTTTCCACTGCATACAATAAAGAAAGATACATAGCAGTAAAGTAAAAGTAATGTTGTGGGAAAAGATGAGCTAGCAGCCTTAATGAGAGATCCTTCCAGATTGTATTTATTGTATTGGTGAATTTATTTTAGACACATTTTAGAGAAAATTGGCGAGAAGAGGGAGAGGATAGAATAAATAGATACTTATGAAATCAGCCATGAAATCAGTTGCTTATATTTACCAAGTAGAGTCTTGGACCTTCCCTGTGGAATACTCCTAATAAGTGAGTGGAAAGGAGGAGTGGAATGTTTGATTTTTTTGGTGATCTAGGACAATAGTCTATATAAAACTAAGGAAATATAAATATTAAAACTGTTTTTAGCCAGTGCAAATATCCTCAAGAGATGAAACTTACATTAAAATTGAGAGGGCAGTTGTTTTTTGGTAAAAGGGTAAAAATTGGAAACAAATGTCTTTATATCAAAATATGATTTGAGAAAAATACCAAGGCTATAATTACATACCATGAAGCAGAGATGATAAATGCACTATAGAGGCTACTGAACAGACCTTTAATATAAAGAACTGAAGAGAGTGCATTCATAGCCAAAGATGCAATCATTCCTAGGTGGAAAAAGCTCTTATAAGTAAATATTTATAGGGCGGAATGAGTGAAGAGTAAAATACATCAGCCTATATTGGAAAAAAAAATGCCTTTGGAAACTTAACTATGAGGAAGCAGGAGTGTATATCATCAGAATTTATTGTTAGAAAGTATGTAATGAATTTTGTACACTGTAGAAGTATATGGTAGGTTTCATAATTAAATAGTCTTAATACTATCATGCTACAGAAATTAAGGAAAAGGAGTAAGTTCTCATTAATACTTCTGGTGTGTTATGGAACCATTCTAAGAGTTGACTCTGTAGAATGTTGTGGATCCTGATTTCGGCTAATTTCAATATACTTTTGATCTGGGCAAATGACTACTTACCACCTGAGACATTGTGTTATAAAATGCAACAATGAGAACAAAAGTAAATTGTTTGAAGGATTAAAAAGTCAAATTATTACTGGGGTTGTTTTAGAAATGATCATGCTTCATGTTACAAAAATGAGTGGTTTTTAAGGTTCTCTTAGAATCAGTATGACTTGATACCAACAACAAACAGCTTTGAGTGATTTCTCATATGTTACAGCTAGATAAATCTCATTACATTCCTTCATGTCCTAGTATGTATTTTGTTTACCATATTTTTTTCAAAAAATATTAGAACTTGGGTATTAATGTAAGTAGATGCATGTGATGAGCAATTCATGTAATAAGAAATCTTAAGTATCATGAAACAATACTCTTAGTATAAATTTAAAACATTTAAGTATTATGTGGTTACTTCAAAAGTCTTTTCCAAGTTTTTTCACTTTTACAGTATGTATCCTAAATGATATTTGTATGTTTTTACATAGTTTTGTCAGTTCTTTGTTTTAAAAGTTAATGGCTTTCTAACTCAGGCATTATTTGCCTGTTATATCTATTCCTGAAGGTCAGATTAGTCTTGAAAGAAAAATAAAGATAAATACAGTTTGTAGTCCTGGCAGATCATTTGTTTAACAAGTACTTAGCGCCAGTTCATGTGATAGAAACTGGAGATTCAGTGCTTTGTGAGGCAGGTGTGACAAGTGATATGATCAAAGAGATACAGGATGATGTAGAAACATATGGGAAGACTGTTTGTTTTTTTATGTTGATACTGTTTTTGAAGATTGAATGTGGGGCCAGATGGATCAGAAAGCTTTTTTCAGAAAAAAAAAATCTTTTAAACTGTTGTCTGAGGGAAGAGTAAGAATGAGCCCTGTGAAGATGAGAATGGTATGTTATAGGCAGAGGAGCAACATGTATGAAGGGCCAGGAGCAAAAAGAGAGAACGCTCTCTCTAGAGAGCAGGCGTAAGTGGAGAATTCATGTGAGTATGGAGAGAGAGGTGATGAGAGCTGACTCTAGGAAGAAAAACAGTCATGGGCTTCCCTATAGGGCCTTATTAGCTGTATTAAAGATACTGGACTTCCTCTTAAGGGTAATGAGGAGTTATTTAATATGTTTAAGCGGGGACTGACTGATATTTCAGAAGAATTTCTCTGACTGCATTATAGAGAATGATATGAAGAGGCAATGGACTGGATACAGGGAGACCTGTAGTTCTGGCAAGAGTTGATGGCTTCGTATGGGTGGGTATACATTGATGTGAACCTATATTAAGAAGGAAAAGAGAGAAACTGTATACCTCTCACCTTAGTTTATGAGGATTTAGAGTTTATGAGAAGTGTATATTAGGTCTTCTCTACCTTGTGCAAATAATTTTTACATGTATGCAATAAATATGTAACAGCGGTCTAATATGTACAAGGAATAAGTCTATATAAAGAACAAAGACATTGTTTATGCCATGCATCTTAGCAACAGTGTGCTAAGCTAAGGGAGACTCCTTGAAGGTCTGAAACAGATACCTGTGCTAACTCATTTCATAGAAATAACCAGCTGGTACACAGATTTTCAAGTGTACACAGAGTTTCTCCATTCTCCTTTGCATTCCATTGATCTCTCTTTGTGGCACAGCCTTTTTTTTTTCCCCCACTTCAAATCTTCTGCTTCACCACTGAACCTGCCATTCTAATGTTGGGACTCTTACGGTTACTTAGTGTGAAAAACACAAGTAGAACCTTTCTCCTTTGCCTTAGGCCTTTCCATAGCACGCAGGAGGAAGAGCCCTGGTTTGGGAGTCACCAAAAATTTGTTTTTGGCTCACCTTTTCTCATTCTCTGATTGTATCTGTAATTTTGCCTTTGTTTCTAAAAAAAAAATGAGAGGGAGAATTTATAATTTACATATCTTCGTGATAATTGTGGAATATATTGGATGAGGAGACGGAGTAATTAAGAATGATTTCTAGATTTATGGCTTAGCACTTACATAGGGAATCAAAGAGTAGCAACAGTTTTGAGGGGGAATGAAAGTTTCATCTTGGACATGTTAACAATCTTGAGGTTCTCGAGAGGCTTTCATCAAGAGATAGACTAAATCGCTGGATACAAGATACACTCAGATGATCCTTGGGCTAGAGATTTATTTTGTAATTGATCAGGGACCTCACCATTGAGTTGGTGACTCAGATGTCTGTATCTCAGTTTATTTCTCTAGGGTTAATCAGTTTTCCCTGCCTATGACTACTAGTGTTCTGGGCATGTATGATTCCATAAGCGTCCTTCCACTTAATTCTTCCTCATTTCCTTGTGGCTCCTCACCCCTTTAGCTATACTTAATGTCCTTGACTTCTCCTCAGATTCTGTTGTTCCAACTTGTCTATAAGGTAAATTTCCCGTCTTCTGCAGGTGTGAGGAAGGGAATGTTAATTCACTATTTAGGATAATGATAGGGACTAGCTCATTTTAAAGACTTTCAACTTACCATTTTGGCCCCATTCAGCAGCATCCTTACCTTGGTACCAGTTATCTCTAATACCTGCACCTTTCCAGAGTTCTGAATGAGAATCAATGTGGATTTGTTGTTTTAGCCTCCCACTCCCCCTGGAAATTTCTACACACACATATATAATATTCTTAATTATACATACACATATATACCACCTTTTCTATGATTCCCATATGCATATAAACTTTTTGTCAGTTCTAATGCATCTTTTATTACATGTATATCAAATTTGTTTTTTTAATAAAAATTTTTTTAAATTAAAAAAATTATTTACTGCTCCTTGTCCCTTACATAGTCTTCTTTCCTACTCTTTGTTCTTGTGAATTTATGACTTTTGTAATGTCATTTAGTGGTATTTCAGCTGGGAGTATTTCATTTTGGATCAAGTTCAAAATGCCATGGAGGCTTATGGGTTTCCCTTAAGCAGACACCAAATAGTTTATTTAAGAATGTAGTTTATTTATCCTAGAGAGTAGAACTGAGACTATGGGAATAAAAAAGGGAAGCCTGGAGAACCCATACAATAATGAATTGACCACTGGTTGTTCAACCCTTTGGGACCAACTGAGAAGCCTAACGATTTGTGTCTCAGGATCTTTCATTTGCTGTAGGGAAGAAAGATGGAAGGACTTACCCACATTGTTCAGAGGGTGGCCAGCCCCGCAGTTATGCATGGAAGAACTTCTAATTTTGAATTTTTTTTTATTTTTTGCTATACTTTTGTTGTCATATTTAAGAAGTCATTGCCTAACTCCATGTCACAAAAGTTTTCTCCCTATGTTTTCTTCTAAGAGTTTTATAGTTTTAACTCTTAAATTTAGATCTGTGATCCATTTTGAGTTTATTTTGTATACATATGGTGTGAGATAGAGAGGTCCAACTTCATTCTTTTGCATGTGGATATACAGTTATCCCAGCACCATTTGTTGAAAATACGATTCTTTTCCCATTGAGTAGTCTTGATAACTTTGTCAGAATTGAATTGATCATAAATGAAAGTATTTATTTCTGGATTCTCAACTCTGTTGTATTGATCAGTATGTCTCTCCTCGTGCCAGTACTATATTGTTTTGATCACAGGAGCTCTGTCGTATGTTCACAAATCAGGAACTGTAATGCCTTCAGCTTTGTTCTTTGTTCTTCAACATTGTTTTGGCTATTCTGGATTCTTTCTGTTTCCACATGTATTTTAGGGTCAGCTGCAAAAAAGGCAGCTGGGGCTTGATAGGGGTTATGTTTGATCTGCACATCAGTTTGGTGAGTATTGTCGTGGATTTCTTTTCACTTATTTAGATCAATTTCTTTTAACAATATTTTTTAGTTTTAGTGTGCAGGTCTTACATTTCTTTAGTTTATTCCTAAGTATTATAATATTTCATGCTGTAAAAGTGAAAACACTTTGCTTTCATTATTGGGGATTGTTCATTTCTATTATATAGAAATATAATTGAGTTGTGTAACTCATTTATTAGTTGTAATAATTTTTTAGTGGATTGCTTAGAATTTTCTACATATAATATCATGTCTTATGTGAATACATATAAAATTACTTCTTCCTTTTCAATTGGGATGTCTTTTTTTTTTTTTTCACCAACTGCTCGGCTAGAAACTTCACTTCAGTGTTGAATAGGAGCTCACATCACATCCTTGTCTTATTCATGATGTTAGTGGGAAATCTTGCAATTTTTTTATTACTAAGAATGGTATTGGCTGTAATTTTTTTTAATAGATGCCCTTTATCTGATTCTTGATCCTTTGTATGTTACATCTCTTTTTTGTCCCTAAATACCAGAATTTTGTAGGATCTGTCCAGAAACCCTATTATCTGGGTATTGAGCCTGCTTGATTGATCTATTTTGTTTATGTTTTTCCATATGCCTTGTTTTGCTTTATAAGAAGTGATCTCTCTCATATACTCATCCCTAAATCTCCTGTAACTAGTAAAAAAATCTTGATGTCATCCTTAATCCCTTCTTTTCATGCATTTCACATTCAGTTCATCAGCAAGTCATATCAGCTCTACCATAAAATGATATCCAGAATCTCCCATTTCTCAGTACTACACTGCTGTTGCCCTGGCATGGCTTATTGCAAGAGCATCCTAAAATAATCTCTCTGCTTTTGTCCTGGCCCCTCAAATGGTTTTCAGTATAGTAACCAGATCATTATTTTAACATATAAGCTGACTTATGTCAATGTTTTGCTCAAAATCTTCTTCAGTCTTTCTTATTCCCATTAAAAGCAAAAAATTCCTATATTATCTAAAAGCTGTGTATGTAACATGGCCTTCTCCTCCCTCTCTGACTTGGTATCTCCTACCATTCTTCCCCCTGCTTATTCTACTCCAACCTTGCCCAGTTCCTTACTGTGTTTCAGACTCATCAGCATTCCTTTCTCAGGAACTTTTTGTTTGCTCTTCTCTCTGTATGGAACGCTCTTCTTCCAGATAACTGCTTGATTTGCTTTTTTAAAAATCTCCTTGACATCTCTGTTTAAATATATCCTTACCAATGAGGCATCCCCTGAATACCCTATTAATAAGTCTAGCATCTGGCTTTTTTTTTTCCTTCTTCCCTGTTTAAAATTTCTTGTTAACATCTATTGTCTGGCATACAATATATTTTCTTATGTGTTTATTGTCTTCTTCTACCTGAATTTAAGTCTGAGTGAAAGTAGAGATTTTAGTTTGTTTTATTAATTGGTTGGTATGTGTGCCCGCTGCTAGAAAAATAATTGGCATTAGATGGTGCTCAATAAATATTTTTGAATGAATGAATGAGCATGTTCTGCATTTTTATTAGTGTGACTTTTTAAATTTTCATGAGCTTTTTGCTATTTTTTTTCTCAGTGTTTTCATTTTATAGATGGAAATTTTCTCTCTAAAGATATTAATGGTAGCTTTTTAAAAGATTTCTTTTTCCTGCCTGGCCTTTTTTCCATTCAAGTTGTTTATGCCATAATTGTTTGTTTTGGTGTCTATGTTGCATGCTAGGGATTTTCCTCATATGTCCAGTATATTTTGGATGATAGTACATATTTAGAGTTGAGACATTGAAAACTAATTGGAATTTATGATTAATTAGGTGTGTTGGCATCTTCTGGTTATTTGTCAGTGTCTTTGGGTCTTTCCTCTTGGGCTGGTCAGATTCCACACAAAAGTTTATTCCTATTTGCTGCCCAGCTGCCAGTATTCTGGAGCCAACTGCATAAGAGGACTGAGAATCTGTTTTCATTATTCCCTTTGACTCTTCACAGTATACCCATTCTCTTTGGTACCTGGTGCTGCCCAGTCCCTGGACTTTCTCTTTCATCCTCTTATTTAGGCAAAGAAGGGACAATCATCAGGCTGCATGGAGTTCTAACTGCTTCTTAAGCTGACTTTCAACTAGTAGCCCTGTTTTTAACCACATTTCCCATCACTTCCAGAAATGCTTGGTACTCTCAACTCAAGCCATTCAGGACTTCTGCACAGTAAATAGGGATGCTTCTCAGCTTTTCTCACAGCCAGTCTAAGATTACTTTCTCAAGTTTATTACTAAGAAGGCAATCTGCTTTATGTATTCATCTGCTTTCTGTGCTTCAAAAATGTGTTACTGTTGTCTCTTTGTATATTCTTTCTATTCTTAAGTGTTTATTCCTTTAAATTTATTTCATTAACATTTTTATAGGTTCCTGGAGAAATCCAAATGTGTGTCCAATGTGCTATCTTTTCCTGGAAGGCTCCCTTTTTCTCTTTATATTGTAATCACTGGTAATTTTACCTGTTTTGCTCATTCCTTTATCCCCAGTGCCTAGAATAGTGTTCAGTCTATAGAAGGAACCTAACAGCTTCAGTGGGTGTGTGTATAGTGACTGTGTGAACAAGACCCCCAAGAGCAGGAGCTAATTAAACCCCATAGAATGGTACAGCCTGTTAGGGTCATAAACTCCTTTGGTAGCATTTGGAAGTTCTGAATCTAACAAAGACAAAAGCCATTATGTCATAATGTATGGTTAACAATTTAAATATATTTAAACTTAAAATAAAATATTAGCTTTATGATGCACCATCTACATGCAGTTTTGTTTGAATGTGCCAGAATCCTTAGAAAATTTTTGTTCTGAATGAGTAAAATGTTAGTCCAGATTTATTGGTAATCTCTCTGATAAACTGTTTTCTACTGGTCTAGCGTTTTTTTCTGAATTTTAACTTCAGTTTTTAAAGTTTGATTTTACTTGTTTAAAAAATTTAGAGTTTTAAGTAGAGATGGGATGTCTCAGTTAACTGAAGCAAATTGTACTATATTTCATTTTAACAGCGATACATTTGATATTGCCTGGAATAGCAGAACTGGGATTCGCCAGAGCCGGCTATCAAGTAGCACATCCTTTCTTGACAAAGATGGGATATTTGCTAATTCAGCTAGCAGCAAACTCTTGGAGAGAGCCCATGGAATCCTTACGTTAGTATTGATTAGTAATATGGATTGTTTTTTATGACTGGTTTAAAATTAAGATGAGTGATGGTGAAGCATTATTTTCATGAGTAGAATCTTGAGTGAAATAAGACTCAAAAGCAGGTGGTCTTTAGAGCTGTGAATCTCACATATGATACAGCCAGTGTTTTCTGTTGGGTTTCATCTCACCAGAAGAAGCATGGTTGAATATGCTATAATGGAGATGATTCTTTGTTGTCCTTTGACAGTCTCTACATCCAGAGAGAGAAAACTGTTAGCTCTTTCTAGGATTCCCAGTCTTTAGCTGCAGCTGTCCTTTAGTCCTGGCAGTCCTAACAAATCGGGTAGGAAAATCCCGTATGTGATGTTGAATGGGCTTCGATTCAAGCCCAGGTCTTTCTGACTCCCTAGCCCATGTTCATAAGCATTGGAATTTATTTCCTTTCTGTAGCTGTCTTGATAAAAATATGATATTGAGTTATGAGTAAGAAAAAAGAATTTTTAATTTTCAAAAGGGGAACATCACAGATTTTAGTGAAAAGTACATGTTAAAAATTCATGAAATTAGGCACCTGTTTAAAGTCTTACAATGACAGAAATAAATCTCATGTAGGAATAAGGAAGGCAAAATTAAAATGAAACTAGCTTTGAATGTACAACATTATGTTACTGATCATCTGGCTTAAATCTGTGTTTAACTACGTTGTACAGCAGGCATCCCTTTTCTGGTTATCTTAGCTTATTCTTCATTCCAAAGGCACTTTCTTTAGCTGAGTCAGGTAATGTTTTGATATAGGGGACCTAGATCTTGGAAATGGGTATATATAGTCTGTTGTTTCTATAGAGACCTTGAAATCATTTATCTCTTCAGTAGTTTTTTCTAACATGTGATTTGTCTCTATAGGAGAAACAAAAACTTCAAATCCAAGCCTGGCCTTCCAAAGGTGAGTGAAAGGAAAAGCTTTTCTCCATTGCTGCTCTACTTCATAATAATTTATTTATTGCTCATGCAAAGAGTCTATAAATCAAAAACAAGAAATACTTTACCCAAAATAGAGATTAAGTGTGTGCATTCAGAAAATACTAAAAATCCATTTTAAAAATAACATTGGATGTTATGAAATGGCCAAACTTAATGGTTCAGGTAAATATTTATCTGTGATATACCCCATTTTCTAGTGTTTGAAAAGCTTCTGAATGTAAGTGTAAATTTTTATTGAGTAATTTGCCTCTTTACCTAAAATTTTTCATTTCTTCTTGAGTCAGGTTAAGACCAAATTCTGAACTTTACTTGATTTTTAAATAATTTCTAATCAGTGCTTACCTAACTCTTCATCAGCATTAACTAGCACTAGTCAACCAAGTTTTTCTCTAAAAAATGTCCAGACAGGCTTACAGACCTATGGTTTCTGTTGTAACTACTTAGTTCTGCCATTGTAGTGGAAATGTAGCTATAGACAGTATGTAACTGAATGAACACAACTGTATTCCAGTAAATTTATTCATGGGCACTGAAATTTTTCAAATGCCATTAAGTATTCCTTAAAAATTTTAACCATATAAACCATATAATTTGGCTTACGGCCACAATTTGCCTATCCTGATCTACATTGTTTTATATAGAGATGGCATTCCAAAAATATTTATTGAATTTCCTAAGAAACAGTCTTACTGAGTGTTTCTTTCATACCCTCCTTCTAAAGAAGGAGTCCAGTTACTTATAACCTTGTTAGTGAATGTAATTCCAAAATTTTAAAAGAACTGAAAAAGTGCTATTCTCATGATTCTTTTGTTCAAGAAACAAGAAAATGAGTGCCTCTATTATTCCTTTTACTTAGGACTCTTAGGTTTCCAAAGAAAATGTAATGCATTGCTAATGGAGTTTTTGATAGTGGTAAATGCTGGCTTGAAACCACAAAGCACAAAGAAAATTTATGTAAATGGTTTGTAATTGTGTTCTTGTCATGAAAAGATTTTACATAGAGAAAAGGAGACCATATTTGTTACCAAACATCTTTATCTGTTTATCTTTTCTTCCTTTACTGTCTCTTTAGCCTTTATTATTTTGAATGCCACTTCTGGGCCTAGCTGTTTGCACTATACTTTTCACTCTTCTCAAATGAAGAGCTTCTCTTTAAACTTCTGGGTACATCAGAAGTAAATAATTCCATTCAATCATCAATCACAGAGTCCCATCTATTTCTGTTTTTGCATTAATGTAGCTAATATTTTGCTTGTTTTGGTGTGTCTTGTACATTCACATACACATAGCCTGTTAGTGTATAGACTTTGGAGTCGAACTGACCTACATTCAAATTATGGGTCTGTTTGCTCTTTGAATTTTAGAGTAAATTCTCTAACTTGTCTTAACCTCTGTGGTAATCTATAATGTGGGGGATAAAATATGTTGGAGTTAGAGATATGTGTTTGGTATATGCATGGTTAGCAGTCAACAAATAATAAGTATTTTCCTTCATATTTGCGACTAGAATCTTTAGAGCTGAATCTGTGGTTTATCTCTGTATATACATACATGCATGGTATGTGGCTTTGTTTAGTGACCTTACTTTTCATCGTGTTTTCCTACCCTTATTTAAATATGCCTCATTTTTTTTTCTAATTTTGCTTAGGGAATATTTTACTTGTTTCTTTCAAGTTTTGAGCCTGTGTGACTATACGAATTTTGGACCATGGCAAGACAAGAATAAATAAAATTATAGATTCTGTATCCTCATTGACCATGGTTGTGTCCTCAGTAAAATATTTCTGTTGCATTGTTAGTTTTATGTATAATGTGGAAAGAAGCAACAGAAGTGTAGATAAACTGAGCTTTTTTTTCTTTTGCTCTTTTGCCCTCTGCAGCCTTTTTCTTACTTTGCTATGTGAAATATCATTGCATGTTATCCGTATGACTTTTTATACCTAATGCAAATAAGATTCACCTGTATTAAGGGAACCTGTAGCTCCTCATTTTAATTGGTCTAGGTAGGATTTAGAATGCTTTGTTTTTATTACAATCTTAAATATTTAAACAGACAAATATTTAATAAATAGAAACTTCAACAGCCCTTAGTCCATTGTTAATGTAGTTTTGTTTCAATAGTAGCTTCCCTTTTCTCTTAGAATTTATTTTTCATACCTTGAAACTGTCACTTCTATTACATCTTCTTTTCTAACATGACCTATCTCTTAATTGTCAGTCTTGTACAACAGCTGCAGTGTTGTATGACACACTGCTCATCTCTCAAACTTGAAGCCTAAAGTGATCTACTGTATCTTTTATAGTCATGAAGGCTCAAAACTCGAAGTTAATTTTATTATCTATTTTGGTCCTCTTCAACAATATAAGCAATGTCTCCTTAATTTTTGTATGTACAGCATCTTGTAAAGCAAGAAGTAAACTATTATCTAAAAATAGAATAAACTGATTAATTAAGCTTAATAAACTAAACAGTAAAAATGGAGTTAAGAAAAAAATAAAGTAGGTAATAAACAGAAGAACTTATAGGATTAATTCTTATCTCCCTTTTCTACTAGATTTGGTACACATTCCAGTTCTTGTTTTTTCTGTCACATTATGCTGGGCTATTGCAGCTGTCACTTAATTGGGTTCATCTCTCTGGCCTTCTTAGCCTCCTGTCCTCCATGTTGTTCTGTTCTGACTTGTCTCTTCTTTCTCACTGGCCCTGTTGTATCTTCTTCCATCTGTAACAAATCTTATCATCACATCATTTACATTTACTGTCTTTATAGCCCATCTCCCTGTACTTCAGCGCAGTGTATTCCTGGCACTCAAAGCCTGATCTGTAGAAATCACTCTTAACATTTGTTGATTGAGTTGATCACAGTGATTTTATGGGCAGAAGTCTGATCTCCAGTTGCTGAGGAAACATTGCTCAAAAATCATTAGGTGCTAAAAAAAAAAAGTCATTAGGTGCTAACCATTCACTCACTCAATAATAGTTACTGAATACCTTTTCTGTTACAGACACTATTTTAGGCATTGGGGGTACAGGGATGAACAGTCTAGTCAGAGCCCTTGCTCCCTCATAGTTTATCTTCCAGAGAGGAAAACACACGTGTGCGTGCGCACACACACACGTATGTATATGTATACACACACAAATAAGGAAATAAAGGAAAAGATAATATAGATGATATGTGCAAAGAGGAAAAGGAAATGACATGTTAATTGACTTAGAGGTGGGCTACTTTTTAGGTATTTAAACAAGAACTTTATTAGACAGTGTGAGTGTTTAAGCTATAAGGTGAATGCCAAGAAAAATCAAATATGTGAAGGTCTGGTTATAGAATATTCCAAACAAATGAAAAAGTTGGAAAGATCCTGAGGTAAGAATGAATGTGTTTTTGTTTTGTTTTGTTTTTCACTTTTCCAATTTAATTCCTTGAAGGTAATGACTTTTTTTGTTTATAGTTATTTGTATTTTCCACAGTCCGTACCATGCTTTTTCATACACTGACAAACACTTAGTAATTAATACTACTATTGATTTGTATATGGTTTATATAAAATGAAACCTATTTTATTTGTAAGGTTTTTTTCTCAGAAGTATCTTTAATGTTTGGGGGGAAAATTATTTTAGGCTTCAGAACTAATTTGTTTTTACTCATGAGTAAACTATAAAATTCTTCCAATTGAGTCTTGATAGTATCTAAAATTATTTCTTTCCTTAATATATAGTGAATCCTTTGTGTGAATTAAAAAAAACTAATAAAAATAAAACTCTCCAAAATTCAGTATACACATACACATGCAATTTTACATATGTGTTAGTGTTTTATGTGGCTTCTTTTTGTCAATAGTATTTGCAAGTATTTTGCTATGTCAGTAAATAAAGGTTTACAATATCTTTATGAGCTGTATAGTATTCAGTTGTGTGGATAAAGCATACCTTATGAAGAGAATTTCATATAATTTCATATCTCTGTTCATAGTTTTTCACTAGTTTTTGAAATACATTGTCAGAATAACATTCAGATCTTCAATAAGCTCCTTAAATACCTAGAAGTGAAAGTGCTTATCAAGAAGGTTATTCTGATTTACATTCCTAAGAACAATGCATAAATATGCCTATTTCCCCACATCCCTCTTGAATACTGGGTTTTGTATTATGTTCGCCAATCTGATGTACAGAGAATACCTTTAAAAGAAAATGTATGTTTCTCTGATTAAAAGACAGGTTGAACCATTGTCTTTGTATGACTTGTCATTTATACTGTGAGAATTGCCTTTTCAGGTCTTCTGCTTATTTAGTATTGTGGGATGTATTCTTTAAGACTTTTTTTTAGAGCTCCTTTTATGTTCAAATAACAAGTCTTTGTCATTGTTGGAAATATTTTTTTCTTAGTTGCAATTGTTTCAGTGTGTATTGCACTTAGTGCCGCTTGAAAGTTTATATTAAGTTTATATTGCCAAAATTAATACCCTTTAGATTTTAAATTTGTTGTCTTTTAACTCAGTTCTGTGCCTCACATACAATAAAATTTTTATTACTTTTTGAATAACATTGTACAGATACATAGATATATGAATAGATAGTCTTTCCATTGAGAAACTCATTGCTATAAATATAGTATGGCTTAAAATTTTCTGGTTGGCTTGAAAATTTCCCAGATACTTTCTTAATATCTTGCTTTATATTCTTTAATTGCTTTATGTGTAAGTCCAGTCTTACTGGGTTGATAAGGGACTATGTTTTCTTACTTTCTGTGTACATGTTCCTGGCATACCAGCTGTAGAGCCCTGGAATTGAATTCAGTTTATTGCCTCTGTGACTTAGGATTCAGCTGCAAATAACAGTAATCCTTGTAGATATTTTTAAGTAGAAAGGAACTTAATTCAGAGATGCTGACAAAATCATCAGAAGCCTTGGAATTTCAGAGTATTCAGAAACAGTACAGAACTGACCCCAGCTATAGTCAGAAAGCTAGGGAATCAGGAAGCTGCCGGTGTGACTGCTTCTTCCTGATTATATCGCCTGTATCGTAGTGCGGGAATCAGGGAGAAGCCGCTGCGGCTGTTGGGTTCAGGGCGCACTGAGCACACAAGGCGAACTTAGAGTTGCATCGACAACACAGTAAATGCCCTGCATGCTACCTCTCAGCTCGCTGAAGTGTGGTGCCCGGACCCTGCGATCATAGACAACTGAAGTGCTGTTATGTACGTGCTTGCCAGCAGAAACACAAGTTAGTATCCAAAGCCTCAGTTCTACCTTCCCAGCTTCACGTGTGGGAATTTAATTGAACTTAAATCACCTCCAGAGCCTGAGATGCAGGAGAGTTTGGGAAATGAGTTTTCTTTTAGCCAGAGCCTCTGTGGGAAACAGGAGGGTAAGAGGGATGTTGAATATCAATGTCCCATATTCGCCACAGTTGTTATACATAGGAAATAATGAGAACTGGTTACAATTTTGTTTTTCCTGTTTTAGATGAATTTGTATGAAGAATTTGATTTTCCTCCCCTTCTTTTCAGCATTTGCTAGACGTAAATTCTTTAAAGCATCTGACAAGACTGACCCTACAGGATCGTATTACCAAGTCTCTTCTTCATTTGCACAAGAAGAAGAAACCTCCCAGTATCAGTGCCCAGTTTCAGGTAATAAAAAAAATTTTTTTTTAAATTTTACTTTTAATAAAGAGGAATGAATCTGTTTGTTCATATTGGTATTCAAAGGTCAAAGTGATCTGCAAGATACCTAATATAATATGATTCACGTGACTAAAAAGCCATGTTAGAATTGCTATTTTGGAGAGAAGTAACAGATGGAAGAAACATCAACTGCCTTTTTTTCTCATCCTTGCATCTCTGGGTAGTGAATATCTCAAAGAAGAATTAATTTATTTTCTGTGTGAGGAGAAAGACAGCAGAAAATTGGCATTACAACCAAAATATGCCTTTAAACACTAATGCCCAGATATAGTCAATATTAATATAATGTATATATTTTTCCCATATGTATTTAAACCTCATGCTATGGCCATCAATATTTAAATGGAATTGTAGACTTTTTCTGGTTTGTTTATTTAGTTTTGTATACATAGAAATCCAGTTCCTTTTGTTGTGAATGGGCATTTAGGAATAAATATGATCATAGTAAATTAGCTAAATAACTTATGAAATAACTTTTCAAAATACTTTTCTATTTACTTCTTCCCATTCTTCTCACATTACCCCTCTCTAACATTCTGTTGTTCATTTGCTAGATATTTATGAAAATGAGCTAAAAATCTCAAGTGTAACAATGCTTTGCATAATTTTACTCTGTATCACAGAAGCACTGTTCATTGTTAACTGAAAATAACTTCATCTGTTTATAGTATATTTCTATACTTTATCTTTTTCTTCAATGTTCCTTCCTTTTTAAGCCAGGATATTTAAATGTAAATTATCTGCTAATTGTCACTGTGTATGATATTATTTGACTTATAAGCACAATCCTTCAAACTATGGACTAGAAATGTCATTTCATTTCTATTTCTCTAGGTCATCATAGACCTAGAGAAAAAGTTGTATTTGTAAAGTCTATTTGGTCAAATGCTTTCTCTTAAGAAAAAAGAAAGAAAGAAAGAAAAGAAAGAAAGAAAAAAGAAAGCAACTTTGAAGAACCAAATAACTTATGGTGTGTTCATAAGATTAGAAGAAAGACATACAATAGAAGTTCTGCCATGAATTAAAAAAATCCTTCTTAATCCGTAATCCAATGGGTTACCGGCCTTTGATTATTAAAGAGAGAGAGAAAGAGAGAAAGGTATTGCGTGACCAAGTCTGTACATCTTGGCGCTGTCTTCACATTTCCAGAGTCTGGCTTTTCACTTTGTAGATTTAGAAATGAAAAATGAATGCTGACCGACAAACTGTAAATACTGCTGTGTAAAACAGTATTGAAGTTTAGTAACATATCATGAAAAATAGGCATCATAAACATATTTGTTACAAGTGTTAGTTCATTAGCACATTTCCCCCTGATTAGCAAATCAACACTAGAAGCCAGATTTGATCAAGATAAGTTGGTTAGTTTAGTATCTAAAATGGAAACATTCATCTCAGAATTATGAAGGGTAGAATCTTTAAAAAGTAGTGTCCTTTGTTTTGTTATGTTGGATCTTTTATAGATGCCTCTATATCAAATTCATTCTTTAATCTGAAGAGTACATTATAGCTACTAAATAAAAATTTATAATCCTATTATGTCTCTTAAAATCTCCTCAAATTCAAGAATTTTGGATATTCTCAAATTATATTCATGTATTGTATTTAACTTTTGCAAAAAAGCTCATCTTTAGTGTTTCCAACACATGGTTAAGTGTTATAAAAGTACTGTTTTTTGATTACTTAAAAAATATCTCTGGATAGTAAATGATTTCATTTGTTTATGTTCACCTGTAATTACCAGTGTAGTATATTTTCCAGATCCTTTACTGCATGTTTATACATGTGCATTATCCATTTTTCCTCCCAATTCTGTGAGATAAATATGTTATTCTTATTGTATATTGAGCAAGTTATGAGAGGTGGAGCTGGATGGCACCCAGGTGTCTTTGCATGCCATACTTAGAATCAATGTTTATTTTCATCAAAATGAAGTCATAGAACTCTTGAAGGTTTTGTTGATACAGGGCTTGCCCTTCTGCTCTAAACAAGTTAGAAAACTGGACAAATAATAAGGATCAAGTGTTTTTAGATATCAGATAATAAGCATTGCAGGACTGTGACACCTGAGAAAAGGGAAATAAATTAGGCAAGCCCCAGCTTACTGCATATAGGCAGTTTGATATAGCTCAGAAAGAGGGGACCCAAACAAATGCCAGAGGTTTTGTTCTGGACTACTCTCAAAAAGCTTAAAAGCAAGTTTTGAATCACGTGACCCTACATAACTTAACAGCATGCCAGAAAAAATATCTGTCACTCTTTAAAGGAATGTACAAAATCCAATGTACAATGTAAAATTAGTGTCTAGAATCCAATCTGAAATTACTAGCCATGTAAGAATAGCGACAAAGCAACCCATTAACGAGGGAGAAAAATTAGTTCTTAGAAATAAACCTAAAAATGGTAGAAATAATAGATAAGGATATCAAAATAGCTATTATAGATCATGTAAATATGTCCAAGGGTATAACAAAAAGCATGAATATAAGAAAAAATTGGAACATATGAAAAAGACTCACATGAGACTTTAAGATTAAAAATGTAATATTTGAAAATAAAAATAAGCTAGATGGGATTAACACATAATTAGTGCAGAAGAAGTGAATTTGAAGTTATATTTACTTTAAAATAAAGCCCATAGAGAAATAAAAAATATGGGTAAAAAAACAACTGGGGTGGAAAATATCAGGTGGCTGAACAGAGAGGTATAATTGGCATCTTGGAAGGAAACGAAAGGGAGAGATACAGAAAAACATTTGTAGAGTTAATGACCAAAGTACTTCCTGATTTTATGAATAAGTTCAGAGATCAAAGAATCTCAACAAACTTCAAGCTGAACAAACAAAAACATATCAAGACACATCACAACACGTTGCTAAAGGAGAAAATCTTAAACACAGCCAGAGAAAAAAGAAGATATTATGTGCAAAGAAATAAAGATAATAATATCAATAGGTTTCTCATTAGAAACTACAAAGCCAGAAGTCAAGAGTAAAATCTTTAAAAGACTGAAAAGAAGGAAAAATTGTCACTCTAGAATTCTGTGCACAGTGAATATCTCTTGTAAAAATGAAGGTTAAGTGGAGATTATTTCAAACAACAAAAGCTGGGAGAATTCATTGCCAGCAGACGTACAATATCAGAAAGTTAAGTGTGGAAGAAAAATGATGAGAAAACCACATGGAAATTTGGATTTCTACAAAACATGAAGAGTGCTAGGATGATGGAAATTAACTATAAAAATACTTTTTCTTGTTTTTTTACTCAGTTATAAAGGTAATCAATTGTAGAAAAAAATATATAATGTGAGGTACAAATAGAATGTATGACAAAAGTAGCACAAAAGAAGGGAGGGCCTAAATATAAGTATATATTGCTATAAAGTTTTTACACTGTATAGAAACTGGTATGATATTTGAAGGTAGATTGTGATATATTAAAAGTGTCACTGTAGAGCAACACTAAAAAAAAAAGGCTCATTATATAGGTAATGAGCTAACAGCAGAACTAAAACAAAATCATAAAATACAGTGAATTCATGCCTAGCTGCTCAAAGGTCCACACATTTGTTGAACATGTATCCACCACTGCGTCATTAGTTGACAGTCCTTTGCTTGGGAGTTGTGGAAACTTAACTTTCTCTTCCTTGGCCTAAAGGGTCTTTCTAGCTTTTGGTCTAAGGATTATGTAGGACACATGAAGCTTGTGTTTGGACAAAAATCTGACTTCTCTGTGTAAAAGGACCATTAGCTTGAAGAAAACCTGTTTGTAGTCCTACCCCTAGAACTAAGAATTAAATCATTACCAAACTAAACCAAGCTGATTTTTATCCTCTGAACATATATCAATGTATTAAGTTTTCTATAATAGCTACCTATTGGTTTTATAATCAGAAGAAATGATATCTAAAAAGGATTTTTATTTTTTTGAAAAATGGTTTGTTTATAGCCATAAGAAGCAAATTGATGGTTGCCTGGGGCTGTGGACAGAAGCAGTTACTGACTGCAAATGGGCAAGAGGGAATGTTTTTTAGGTGATAGATTTCTAAGTCTGGATTGTAGTGATGGATGCACAGTTGTGTAACTTTAATAAAAACATTGATTTGTAGGCTAACATGGGTACATTTTTATAGTACATAAATTAATAATTTAATGAAACTATTGAAAACAGAAAGTCACTGTTAAAAGAGAATGAAAGGGCAGTTTCATTCTCAGTATAAGATACCAAAAGTAGTCTTGCAGTACACCTGGAAAAGTCCTTGTATATGGAATATATGAAGAACCACAGATCAATTTTTAAAAAGATAGATAACATAATAGAAATGGGTAAAAGTCTTGAATAGGCAAAACTGTCTGATATCAAAAGATGTTATCCCAAAGGCCAGTAAGCTTATCAAATACCTGTTCAACATTATCAGTCATTAGGGAAATGCAAATTAAAGTTTTGGGCAAAAATACTACGTACTTGCCAGCGTGGCTGAAATAAAAAAGACTGATTTTACAAAGTGTTGACAAGGGTGTGGAGCTACCAGAACTTTTATATGTTGCTACTGAAATATAAGTTAATGCAGGCATTCTGGAAAACAGTTAAAAGATGTGTAGTAGAAGAATGTTCATAACAACTAACTTATAACTGCCCAAATCGGAACAACCAAGTATCTTTCCTAAATGGATAAATTTAATTGTGATATTGTCATATAATGGATCACTATTATATAGCACTGAAAATGTACAAGACAATTGTATGCAACACATACAAACTTGTACATAATGTGTCTTTCTTTTCACATGAAGTGTAATAGCAGGCAGAACTAGCTTATGATCTTGGAAGTCCGGATAATGGTTACGCTTGGTTGAGGTATGAAGGCGAAGGCAGCTGATAGCTTATGTTCAGTGACCTTGCTAAATTCAGTGGGACAGGGCACAGAGGGGCTTTGAGATTCTGAAAATATTTTATTGATTTGTTCTGTGGTTACAAGACTGTGTTCCCTTTGTGAAAATTCATCAAAGTGTAAGTATACTTGTGACTTAAACATTTTATTTTATATAAATTATACTACAATAACTTACAAGAAAAAGCACTTAAAAGTAAAAACTTTGTTGATACTATAACAACAATGACAGGAGTCTCTATGGTCAAAGGCTTCTAAGTTTTACTTGAAGTCATAAAATATTGATTCTAAGTAGATGGTGACATGTTAGGTTTGTATATTTTAATCCCTAGAGCAGCCACTAAAAATTAATATAGAGATATAGCTGAAAAGCCACTAGATAAATAGAATACTTCAGAAAAAAAGTATGCAATCCGACCATAGTGGAATTAAACCAGAAATCAGTAAAAGAAAAGAAATCCCTAAATATTTGTAAAATAAAAAACAGACATCTAAACATGAGTCAAAGAGGAAGGAAATTTAAAAAAATATTTTAGGTGGAATGAAAATAAAATATCAAAACTTGTGCAGTGCAGCTAAAGCACTGTTCCAAGGTTAATTTATAACATTAAATGCTTTTGTTAGAAAATGAAAAAGCTCTCAAATCTATAATCTAAGTTTATACTCTAGAAAAAGAATAATATACTAAACCAAAAGCAAGTGAGGGAATGAAATGATTAACGTAAAAGCAATATTCTGTGAAATTGAAAACAGTAAAACAATAGAAAATATTCAATGAAACAAAAAAACTGGTCCTTTGAAAAGATATTTATAAACATTTAGTCAGACCAATCAGGGAAAAAAGAGGTAAAGTACAAAATATCATTATCATGAATGAATGAGGAGACATCACTAACATGCTTTATAAACATTAAAAATTAAAAGTAAAGCAGGAGAATATTAAATACCTTACTGTCTGTTTTATGGTATGATTTTCAAAGTTGCTCCAGGAATGCATGAATTTGAATAAAATTGTTTTATGAAATGGGAAGAAAAGTGAAAAATGTATTCTAGATTTAGGTTATGCTGAAATATATCTTCAGTATTTACTATTGCCCAGATAACAGCTTTAAGATTAAACTACCCTTCTTGTTCTTAATTGTGCTTAATCAGCATGGGAATTTTTACAACTTGCTTTTCAGAAACAAACCTATTTCTGTGTATATCACTTGTTTTTGTATATTTTGCCAACGTTTTGTTTGTATTTATAAATCATTCGTTGCCATTTGGAATGGGAGAAAATGTTAATTATAACCATATTGCTTTGTATTACAGGCCTCATTAAGCAAACTGATGGAGACACTTGGTCAAGCAGAACCATATTTTGTAAAATGCATTAGATCTAATGCCGAAAAGGTAACAATGTCTTACAAATGAGAACTTCTAGCTCAACTTACTTCAAGCTGTAAATTCTTTCTAAGGAGACTAAGTGGAGGGGAAGAGCTAACTTACAATCTTTGTGAGGAAAACAGTATTCTATATTTTCTATGGATATCCTTCTAATTTCCACATGTACCTGCCCATAAGTATTTATATGGGCTTGATTTAGTATCTTCTAGAATTTGGAAAGCAAATACCTCTTGAAATTCCATCATAAAAGAGAGTTTTATGCAACCTTTGTTACCTTGAGATTAATCTCTATAAGCTATACTCTCAAAGAACTTAATTGGGATTTTTCATGTTTAAAAATTATTATTTGTATAAAATAGGGAAGGTACTGTGGACATTCTTGATTCCTTCCTGTTTCTATGACAATTCCCCTAGTTAGAGCTTTGCAGAATACATCTAATAGATGTAAACATTTATCATCTTTCTTTATGTTCATAATAGGAAAAACTAGTTCCCAGCCTGAACAGCTAAAATGTAGTAAGAATTATGTTCAGCTTCCTTAATATTTAAAAAGCGTTCTCCAGCTTTGCTGTATGCAAGCTTTGTGAACTTAAGATGAGTTACTTAATCTTTCTGTGGCTTAAGTATTTTCATCTGTAAGAATATACTGCATTCATATGACCAACCTCATAGAGTTTTGTGAAAATATGAGTTAATACTTGTGAAGTATTTAGAATGTTCCAACCTGTACTAAGCACTTGGTAAATGTTAGCTATTATTTTATAATGACAAAAAAGGAAACCATTTTATTTATAGTAAAGTATTGACTATTGACATTTGAACCCTTATTATTAATTGACACTTGCTTATAGAAAGAGTTCAATTAATGAAGCATTTCAGGACATAGAATAAGTATGTCAACTGCTATTATTAACATAAGTTGCCTATTTGACTTTTTTTCCTTGGCAAATGGTCTTCTTCATCTCTCTGCAGAAAAATGGGATTGCCTTAGGGGATCATTGAGAATAATATTTAGGAAATAGAGAGAACTATCAAAAGCTCCAAATACATATTCTTTTGAATCTCTAAAAACTTGCCTACTGAGATACCTGGAAGTGACCGGGCGTCATGATAGGTGACTGCCTTCCTCTTCCTTATTCACGCCTATACAATGAAGAGATCAATTATGAACTACAGAAATTTTTTGTTTTTCAATGTGTCATGCAAGTATCATCAGCAAAATGGTTTAGTTTTTTAAAAAAAACTATTACTTTAAAAAAAATTAATTGATGTACAATCTTATGAAGGTTTCACATGAACAACTTTGTGGGTTCAACATTGACCCATATTAGCAAGTGTCCCCCCAAGACCCCATGCATTTGCTGTCTGTCAGGGTAGGAAGATGCTATAGAGTCTTTACTTGTCTTCACAGTACTGCACTACGTTTCCTGTGACCTTCCTATATTGTGACTGCTAACTACAGTGCCCCTTAATCCCCTTCCCCCTCCTTCCCCATCCACCCTCCCTAACCACTTCCCTTCGGTAACCACTAGTCCCTTCTTGGAGTCTGTGAGTCTGCTGCTGTTTTGTTCCTTCAGTTCTGCTTTATTGTTGTACTCCACAAATGAGGGAAATCATTTGGCACTTGTCTTTCTCCACCTGGCTTAATTCACTGAGCATAATATCCTCCAGCTCCATCCATGTTGTTGCAAATGGTAGGATTTGTTTTCTTATGGCTGAATAGTATTCCATTGTGTATATGTACCACATCTTTATCCATTCATCTACTGATGGACACTTAGATTGCTTCAATATCATGGCTGTTGTAAATAGTGCTGTGATAGATAAACATAGGAGCACATATGTCTTTGAATTTGTGACCTTGTTTTCTTCGGGTAAATTCCTAGGAGTGGAATTCCTGGGTCAAATGGTATTTCTGTATTTAGTTTTTTGAGGAAACTCCATATGGCTTTCCACAATGGTTGAACTGATTTACAGTCCTGCCAACGGTGTAGGAGGGGTTCCCTTTCTCCACATCCTCGCCAGCATTTGTTGTTGTTTGTCTTTTGGATGTTGGCCATCCTAACTGGTATGAGGTGATACCTCATTGTGGTTTTAATTGGTTTTAATTTGCATTTCCCTGATGATTAGTGATGTGGAGCATCTTATCATGTGCCTGTTGGCCATCCGTATTTCTTCTTTTGAGAAGAGTGTATTCAGATCCTCTGCCCATTTTTTTGATTGGATTGTTTTCTGGGTGTTGAGGCATAAGAGTTCTTTATATATTTTGGATGTTAAACCCTTATAGATAAGTTGTTTAAGAATATATTCTCCCATACTGCAGGATATCTGTTTATTCTGCTGATGGAGTCCTTTGCTGTACAGAAACTTTTAGTTTGATGAAGTCCCATTTGTTCATTTATGCTTTTGTTTCCCTGCCTGAGGAGATGTGTTCAGGAAAATGTTGCTCATGTTTATATTCAAGAGATTATTGCCTATGTTTTCTTCTATGAGTTTTATGGTTTCATGATGTATATTCAGGTCTTTGATCCATTTCTAGTTTAATTTTGTTTATGGAGTTAGAGAGTAATCCAGTTTCATTCACTTACATGTAGCTGTTCAGTTTTGCCAACACCAGCTGTTGAAGAGGCTGTCATTTCCCCACTGTATATCCATGGCTCCCTTATCATACATTAATGGGCTATGCATTTGTGGGTTTATATCTGGTCTCTCCATTCTGTTCCATTATTCCATGAGTCTGTTCTGGTGCCAGTACCAAATTGTTTTGATTACTATGACTTTGTAGTAGAACTTGAAATTAGGGAGTATAATCTCCCCCATTTTTTTTCTTCCTTCTCAGCAATGCTTTGGCTATTCACAGTCTTTTGTGGTTCCATATTAATTTCAGAACTATTTGTGTTAGTTTATTGAAGAATACTGTTGGAATTTTCATAGGGATTGCATTGAATCTGTAGTTGCTTTAGGAAGGATGGTCATTTTGACAATATTAATTCTTCCTGTCCATGCGCATGGGATGTATTTCCATTTATTGGTATCTTCTTTAGTTTATCTCATGCATGTCTTACAGTTTTCAGGGTATACATCTTTCTCCTTCTTGGTTAGGTTTATTCCTAGGTATTTTATTCTGTTTGATGCAGTTGTAAATGGAGTTGTTTTCCTCATTCCTCTTTCTATTGGTTCACCATTAGTGTATAGGAATGCAACAGGTTTCTGTGTATTAATTTTGCATCCTGCAATGTTGCTGAATTGAGATATTAGTTCCAGGAGTTTTGGAGTGGATTCTTTAGGGTTCTTTATGTGTAATATCATGTCATCTGCAAACAGTGACAGTTTAACTTCTTCCTTACCAATCTGGATGTCTTTTATTTCTTTGTGTTGTCTGATTGCCATGGCTAGGACCTCCAGAACTATGTTGAATAAAAGTGGGGGAGAGTGGGCATCCTTGTCTTGTTCCCGATCTTAAAGGAAAAGCTTTCAGCTTCTCACTGTTGAGTATGATGTTGGCTGTGGGTTTGTTATATATGACCTTTATTATGTTGAGGTACTTGCCCTCTATGCCCATTTTGTTGAGAGTTTTTTATCATGAATGGGTGTTGAATTTTGTCGAATGCCTTTTCAGCATCTATGGAGATGATCACATGGTTTTTGTCCTTTTTGTTGATGGATTTTCGAATGTTTTACCATCCTTGCATCACCGGGATGAATCCCATTTGATAACGGTGTATGATCCTCTTGATGTATTTTTGAATTTGGTTTGCTAATATTTTGTTGAGTATTTTTGCATCTATAATTTTTTTTTTTGTGGTGTTTTTGCCTGGTTTTGGTATTAGAGTGATGTTGGCCTCATAGAATGAGTTTGGGAGTATTCCCTCCTCTTCTACTTTTTGGAAAATTTAAAGGAGGATCGGTATTAGGTCTTCACTAAATGTTTGGTAAAATTCAGCAGTGAAACCATCTGGTTCAGGGATTTTGTTTTTAGGTAGTTTTTTGATTACCAGTTCAATTTCGCTGCTGGTAATTGGTCTGTTCAGATTTTCTGTTTCTTTCTGTGTCAACCTTGGAGGTTGTATTTTTCTAGAAAGTTGTCCATTTCTTCTAGGTTATCTATCCAGTTTGTTACCATGTAATTTTTCATAGTATTCTCTAATAATTCTTTATATTTCTGTGGTGTCCGTAGTGATTTTTCCTTTCTCATTTCTGTTTCTGTTTATGTGTGTAGACTCTGTTTTTTTCTTGATAAGCCTGTCTAGGGGTTTATCTATTTTGTTTATTTTCTTAAAGAACCAGCTCCTGCTTTCATTTATTGTTTTTAAAGTTTTATTCTTTTCAATTTTATTTATTTCTGCTCTAATCTTTATTATGTCTCTCCTTCTACTGACTTTGCGCCTCTTTTGTTCTTCTTTTTCTAGTTTCAGTAATTGTGTTTAGACTGCTTATATGGGATTATTCTACTTTCCTGAGGTAGGCCTGTATTGGTATATATACTTCCCTCTTAGCATAGCCTTTGCTGCATCCCACAGATTTTGCAGTGTTGAATTATTGTTGTCATTTGTCTCCATATATTGCTTGATTTCTGTTTTTATTTGGTTATTGATCCGTTGATTATTTAGGAGCATGTTGTAAAGCCTCCATGTGTTTGTGGGCTTTTCTTTTTTTGTTTAATTTGTTTCTAGTTTCATACCTTGATGGTCTGAGAAGCTGGATGGTAAATTTCAATCTTTTTTAATTTACTGAGGCTCTTTTTGTGGTCTAGTATATGATCTATTCTTGAAAATGTTCCATGTGCACTTGAGAAGAATGTACACTATGCTGTTTTGGTATAGAGTTCTGTAGATGTCTGTTAGGTCCGTCTGTTCTAATATGTTGTTCAGTGCCTCTGTCTCCTTACTTATTTTCTGTCTGGTTGATCTGTCCTTTGGAGTCAGTGGAGTGTTGAAGTCTCCTGAAATGAATGCATCGCATTCTATTTCCCTCTTTAATTCTGTTAGTATTTGTTTCACATATGC